GCGGCCAAAACAGCCGGATCACGCGACCGGAGCGCCATGGAATGAGACCGAGGCAGTCCACGTTCCTGGCGTGAACCCCTCGGACGACCACGACCACGGCGTACTGGCTCGGGAGAAACAGATCGCGAGGCACCGCTGGACACCTCACCAGACGAGGTTTGGCGATCAGATGGTGCAACAAAAGCCAGACGCACGGGAAACTGCCGCAGAGGAACTAGCGGCACACCAGTCGAAGCCACAGCCACCGGTGCAACACCCCACGGCTTGGGTCGACAATCAGCAGCCTGCACATTACAACCAGAAGCAAACGGAAAAACGACTTCATCAAAGCGCACATGGCGACAGATGAATACCTTGTTGGTAGTCAAATCCAAACATCGATAGCCACGGAATGACTCGGGGTAACCCAGAAAGACACAAGGGGAGGAACGGTATTGTAGCTTGTTACGGTTGTACGGGCGTAACAACGGAAAACATAAACACCCGAATACCCGTAAAAATGAGTACGAGGGAGGAGAATGAAACACACGAAAGTGGGGACTCTCATTATGAAGAACACTAGTAGGCAATTTATTGATTAACGAAACAGCGGTCTCAAAAGTGTAGTCCCAATAACGAGTGGGAACATACGCCTGAGCCATCAACGCCAAACCCGTCTCAACAATGTGACGGTGGCTACGCTCCACCCTCCCATTCTGTTCATGTGTGTAGGCACAAGATTGCCGATGAACAATTCCAAGAGAGAGAAGGGCGGAGTGTAATTTTTTGTACTCACCCCCCAAGTCAGATTGAACAGAGATGATTTTACGCGAAAAGAAACGCTCAACTTGTAAACGAAAACGATCAAATATTGAATATAAATCTGTTTTCGCACGCATAGGATAAAACCAAACAAATCTAGTATAATCATCTACGAATAACACAAAGTACCGATGGCCATTCGTAGAAAGTAAAGGCGCAGGGCCCCAAATGTCTGTATAGATTAACTGAAGTACATGTGAACTAGATTGATGGACACGCGGTAAAGGAAAGCGAGAGGCCTTCCCAACCTGACAAGCAGAACATAAAGACGAACTAAGACTAGAACTAATAGACATAGAATTCAAAAGTTGACGAAGGACACGAGCATGAGGATGCCCCAGCCGATTGTGCCAGACAGTAGAGGTGACACGCGCAGCTAACGCAGCCGGACCTGGACTCGGAACCGACCAGGAATAGAGACCACCCGAGACACCACCCTTATGCAGGACCTCCTTGGTTAAAAGATCCTTCACAAAGAAACATTCAGGGTGAAATTCAAAATAGACACGGTTGTCTCGTGCGAAACGTTGAACCGACAAAAGGGAAGCAGATAAACCAGGAACGAATAAAATATCAGACAAATTTAAGACTCTAGAATTGACGGCTAACGAAGATGAACCGACACCAACAATAGGCATACATGTGCCATCTCCAACACGCAACTGATCAGACCTAGTATAGCTAGCAGCAGAAGACATCATAGAAGGATCTGGAGTAGCATGATTAGTAGCCCCCGTGTCCGGGAACCATTGTTGCGACGAGACCGAACCAACGTCATCTCCTGAGTAAGCAACATGAGCTTGCGGGGCTGGAGCCCCCGAATAACGCCGGAAGCAATTCAAGGCAGAGTGGCCAGGCCCATCACAGATTTGACACCGCAATCCACCGCGACCACGCCCTCGCTGCCGCCGACCACCACCACGTTGGTGCGACTGCCCACGACCACGCTGAGCAGCCAACGCGACATTAGCCGCCGGACCAGCACCATCCTCGGCACAGATAAAGTCCTGTGCGACGAGAAAGTCCGAAAGCTCGGTGAGAGTTACCGGGTCACCAGTTGTGAGAGTCGCCACTAACGGCCGATACTCCGGCCTTAGTCCACGAAAAATGTACAAATTCTGGTCATCTAAACTCACCGGACGCCCTGCCAATGCCAAGTCCTCAATGATCAACTGAGCCCGTCCAAGATAATCCGGGATGGAAGCATCCACCTGACGGAGAGCCTGTAGCTGACCGAGGAGACGCAACGCACGGGCACGCGTAGCCGACCCCAAAGACTGCTCCACTGAAAGTCACAATTGCCACGACGTAGACTTCCCGACTGCCAAATGCATGACCTCCTCAGACAACGAGGAGATCAACATCGACAGTATAGCCTGATCTTGCTGAAGCCAGGCAGAACGCGCCGCCAACAACGAAGCAGAAACACCGCCATCGGAAGAGCCGGGAGCAAGGACCGCCGGCAACTCAGGACACGTAAACGAGCCATCAACATACCCCAGCAGTCCCTGACCACGCAGGAACGGGAGTAACTGGGTCCGCCAAAATAGAAAATTGCGAGCGGTGAGCTTGAGAGAGACAAAGTGGTGCGCAGACGAGAGAGAGCTGGCAACGACAGGAGCAGAAGCCGTAGCCTCAGACACCGTGCGCTCCGAAGAAACGCCAATTGAGCCGTCGTCTCTGATCGTCGCCATGGGAGAGAAAACGAAAGAGATGGATAACACCCGGTAACTGATACCAGATGAGGAATATTGTCTGATAGATTCAATAGAACTGAAACACAAGAGATAAATAACAGTAGTAGTAGAGTACTACAATCACATTCCTAACAAAGTTTGCTAAACGTGGTTTGTTTCAATGTATGAATATGATGTTGAAGGTTGTGTAAGATGTGATCTTCCTTGAACCATTCCTCAGGTGGTTTATCCACATACTCTGATCATACAATCTCAGGTTCTTCAACAACCACTTGTACTCCAGTTGTTCTCTAACAATTTCTCTCTCAATTGATGTTTCAACTGCTGGGGCAATACGCCTCTCTGGTGGTGCCATGTTAACTTTACAAATTTTGATCGGCACATGCGTGATCACTAACCACATCCTGCTGTGTATCGTTTCGAGGTGAATCTGCATCCAAATTCTCTATTAGTCGTAACCCTCTAGAGAGTAGACATGGGGAGGGATAAGATGAGAAATATATAAACATTAGATCTCCCTCCTCTACCATATGGTTGTTTACCCGTCGTAGCCCACATCGAAAGCAACCGATAATTGCAGCTAGCACCGTCGTCGAGATAGTTGAGGTACGTATGTTCTGCATGCAGCTTTGTTTTTAATTTTACGCAACTAATAATAATAATAATAATAATAATAATAATAATAATAATAATAATAATAATAATATCATCATCATCATCATCATCATCATCATCATCATATCATCATCATCATCATCATCATCATCATCATTAAGGTATTATCCGCAAAATTTGGTATTATTATGATAATTATTAGTACAAAATTTATTTATTTATTATTATCTTAACTATAATATAGCTATATGGTTTGGTGAGCAATTATTGTAACAATAATTGCTCACCAAACCATATGGTTATATTATAGTTAAGATTTATTTATTTACTTATTACATGGTGCATAAAAATTCAAATTAACCTTAATTCATTTTCATCTCTATTGCCTCATCCAATTCATCCAAAAACTCACAAATAAACTTCAATTGAGATTATTCTAATGAGGTCAATCTTATAAATTTAGTACATAGTATTTAATATTACAAAATTTTAAGAACTTAGTAAACAACAATAGTAATTGAATTACAATTTTCAGAGTCACTGCGGATCAAAATTTTTAGACCTTTGAGATTTCTAGAGTACTATTGTAGTTTACTAAGTTCTTAAAAATTTGTAATATTAAATACTATGTACTACATTTTTAATATAGTTTAAGATTTGTAGTAATCACCCACCTTAAATATCAATTCTTATTTTAATTGTAAATATATTTATATATGTCCATAATTTTATCATAGCAATTCCCACATAATTATTAAATAATAAAATTTTTATATATGGAATAAACTTCATATATGGTATATTTTTATAACATATTTCTCGTGCATCGCACAGGACAAATACTAGTTATTATTAATGGACACTATATAAAAAAGGTTATTTAAAAATGTACATGTTATTATGGTCCACATAACACTATGACTAAATAGTGTGTCGCAGAAGATTTAAACGCCTCCGTTGAGGCTCAATCTCATGACCTCCCACATGGAAGAGGTCACTACATGCTATCTGAGCACAAGGTGCTTGGCATAACCACCTCTAAATATATTATTTGTTTATTCCGTTAAATCTTATTGGCGGTTATTAAGTGTCGCTAAATATTTTTCTTTATTTATTTTTAAAAATTCTAGTGACGGTTATTAAGTGTCGCTAAATATTTTTATTCACTAAATTTTTATATTTATTTAGTTTTTAAAATATTAGATGCAATTATTTAAGTGTCGCTAAATAATTTTTTGTTTTCATAATTAAGTGTGCTAAATGTTTTATAATTACATTATTATATTTTTATAATTATTATTTAATTATATTTCTTCAAAAATCTTTATATTCAAATGCATTTTGCATTCACAAATAAACTCTATGTATACATTTAATTAGAAAGAAGAACAATTGTAACTAATATTTGTCAAATAATAAATTCAATAGTATTCAATAATATTCGAGCACAGTAAGCTACATATTAATTGAACAAGTATTTTTGGTGTTGAATCCATCAATTCCTCTCATCTTAACCAAGCGTTTGGTTGAATCCATCAACAGCTACAGTAACTGATCCTTCACAAACTCCAGGAGGATAACATCAATGTAGAAATCTCAGTATTAAAAACAAACCCATCTTAAAGCAAAGCAGGAAAACCCAACCACACAATTTCTCATGTGATCAACAACTTAAGTTTACTAATGCACAAGTTCAGATAAGGATTGCCAAAACTCTGCCCAGTTCCTAAACTAGAAAGAAAGTTCCCTTGGGAAGTTTTCTGCACCCCTTATACACACACGAAAAGGGGGGAAAAAATTTACAAAAATAAAAAAGATCTTAATTTTTCTGCCTCAGGTTAGATAGGAAGTGGCTGTAAATGTAACAATAACCAATGAGTAACTTTCAAGGCAAGTATGCATACAAAGAAATGATAGATGCCATCAAGTACGTACAACATCACAGTTACAGGTTTAAATCACCAACCTAATTCAATAAGCAAGTTAAAATATTCCCCAATATTTAAAATATATATTCAGAAAAAGAGACAATATAATGTTTGTTTTGTGGTTGTAACAATATAATCAACTAAATCTATCCATTCTTACTCCATATATAGCTTAACTTAGCTTCCTATTGAACCCAAATTGTAACCTTGAGTGTATGCATTGATGAAAAAAAAAATTTGCTTAATCTATCTGTTCAAACCATAATTATATCTAGCTAATTAATAGACTTCTGGTTGGCCCTGGACAAAACTCCTTTGGAACAACTAAATTTTTTTTTTTTTTTTTTGAGTACTACTAACTCTGTTACAATGCAATATCTGTTCATAACTACTTTCTCAACATATTAGAACAACTAATTAATTGCACATCATGTAGAAGATTGTCCATTAACATGATGACTAGAAGATGAATATTGCTTTTCACTCCCTTGTGAAGATTGGTGCTTGCTTCCTTCATCGGGTACCTACATTACAAATCAACCAATTACAAAGGTAACCTTACAAATCAACCAATTACGAAGGTAACCAATCACATCTCAAAATCAACCAATTACGAAGGTAACCAATCACATCTCAAAATCAACCATTTACAAATAAAATACAGCAACTTACTGGGAGTAGGGGATGCATAACAAAAGTGCTTACTGGTTGAGATGTTTGGTTAAGCAAAGTAACAAATTGTTCAGGAACTTTGCCAAAAGTTTTTTCCAAAATAGCAACAAGAGCCCTTATCATGAGCTTTTGCATATCATTTTGAGCTTGCAATTGAGCTTTAATTGCCGCTAACTCCTTCAAATTGGAGACATACTCTTTCATTTGATTATCATTAGACGACCAATGCATCTCATTCATCCTTGAAGTATTGTTAAATAAATTAGATGGGCATGGTCCAAAACCTAACCCACGAACACGTCCGGGGTGTTCTTCTCCAAAGGCTTTGCGAAGAGGGTCATCTTGTGAAACAGATTGTGATTGAGAAGATGAGCCTTGATCCATTTTATTTATGATTTTTTCCTGAATTAAACAAATATCAATTTGCAGTGTAACATTTTACTCTATTCAAAATAAATTAAAACATACTTACAGAGATAATTCTACATTCTTCATTAACAGATGACCCTCTTTTTACTTTGTGGGTATCAATCCATAGTTCTGAGCGATTAACACTATCCCCGAGCTCAATTTCCTTGTATGAAAATTAAATTGTTAGTAATTAAGAAAAAATAAACATTTAACTTAGTTAATTGCAAAAAAATAAAAATAAAAAATAAAAAATTGAAATACCATCTCAACCCTTCTCCTAGCAAAACTCTTTGATCCACAAGTATGTGCAATTTTTTGGTGTTTCCTACTTTCAGCTTCCCACGTAGTCCTTGTTTTCTTTTTAGATGAAGATTGCAAATCTTCATTTTGCTCTTGTAGTGTTTCACTATCCTGAGTTTGCTCTTGAAGTGTTTCATTATCCTGAGTATGTTCTTGATTTGGAAATATATCTTCAAGTGGTGCATCATTCAACAATTGATCGTGTGTTGATGAAGAAGATTGTTGTTGAGACATTGACCGACTCATATCCATGAACCTTTTTTATCTTGGCATACCTACACATTAAATGAAAATTAGGGATTATAATTGGATGTAATTGGATTGGAACCTCTGGTTTACTGGCTTTCTTACTGCTGCATTCTTATTGGATTTATAATTAGGGATAATTCACATGGACCCCCTGTGGATTATGTCTGCAACAGACTTACAGTTAGAGCCCTCAACTTTCCCAAAGAGGGAATCAAAACCATGAAAAAAGCAAACACATTTTGCACAAAAAACCATTACTGGTAAACGCAAAAAGACAAGCAGAAGTATGACAAGTATAAGTATAATAATGAAAGGCAAGTAAAAAATAAAGTGCAGTGCAATTCTGAATATATTGCCAGCAAGGATGTAGTACCCTATTATTAATACTCCGTAACAAAAAGAATTCATAATAAGGAACAGCTGTCAAACTAAACAGTTCAAGGCTAGCATTGATCCCACCAAAAAGGAAAGGAAACATGCATTTTTATCACCTGGAATAGGAAGACAGCTACATTTATTAAAAATTTAAAGAAGTTACATCAACAGGTTAACAGCATAAAGAGTGGTTCCATTTTCATATTGCTCATCAACAGCATCACACCTTGTTATACAACACTTACATAGAAGCAGGTAACTTAATCGACTACTAAAGATGTTTCCCACCTGCCAAGCTTTACCAATATCTAAGAACTGAATGATGTATAAATATTAATACCCATATCTTTCATCTCAAATACAAATGTTGTGTTTACCATAGTGCAATCACCCATTCATGGGTCCTCAAAAATAACATATCTAAGATGAATATTAGCAATTTCATTAAATGCATGCTCTGCAAGAAAAGATAGATAAGCCCATCATCATTCATCAAGTATGATGAAAGTCAACTCTTGCCTACAAGATTCATCTTCAAACTAACTTTCTTTAACTGTATTTCTTTATAGAGTGTCTAGGAAAAGAGGTTAACAGAGACAATGCAACAAGAACTCCTCATCTGATTAATGTCCATGAAAACAATAAAGTACATGTAAATAATCTCAGTGCAGTTATTATGTGTCTGTGTGTAGGGATAACATTCATGTTGGAACAATACAACAAAACATATAAAGCAATTCACATTAGAAAGCAAGATGTAAAATTCTCAAACATTTGAATAGCATTTCAACATTGAGAGAGTAATGAAATTTAACATATTCAAGGACTAAAGTGAAGTGTAGTGCAATGAAAAACTGCTATTCAATCAAAGCTAATCCCACCTCATGGTACTTGATTAACAAAGACTTGACCATGGATTTGACAATTACTCTCTCACTAAAGTTGCTCTAGAAGATCACAAGGAATCAAGATTCACTTGACATTTCATATTTCATGTTTGATATAAGATACATCCAAATAGGCACTACACAAATAAAATCACACACAACCTACTCAATAAAAAAAAAATGACATTACGCATGGAACAAGATCATAAAATGTACGACATACCGTTTGCAAAAAAATTCATATTCATTATTTTGGTACGGTCTAACTTCAAAGGTCAAGGTAGAGTGCTTCCATTCCAGTTCTTGTAAAAAACATTAAGGGCATCCTCAATAGTGTGAAGATTTTGAAGAGTTTTGAGAAAAAAAAAAAAGAAAATTAAAATTTGAAAATAAATAAATAAATAATATCGCTACGGGCGCAAGAGTTGCGCCTCACTCACTGCAAAACCTCCCTTTTTGCAGGACACACCAAACTTTTCTCTCTTCCCTCCCTTTCTTCCACCCTCACCCAAAATTCCTCAAAATCTGGTCCAAAAGCCCGTTTTGGGGTTGCTCTAAGAGGCTAAAAACATTCCACATCATCTAAAAACAAATTTTCACCATATAATGCACCATGTAATCTATTTGCAAGAGTTAAGTTTGTGTAGAAACAAAACATATCACCCTGACCACTAAACAAAATTTCCAGCAAAACTAAATTTGCAAATAAATAAATAAATAATTCCAAAATATAACAGCCATTAGTAGATTGACTATACACATATCCGATCAAACGGCTGATTAACTTTTCTGTGAATGATATACAGTCAAAATTGGATCCTTTCAACTCAGCTACTGATGGAGTGATAGATTTGGCAACTTTCATCACCTGGGAAACAAAAGAAAAGAGAGAAGAAACTATAGAGAACTCTATAATCTCCTGATTAATTGATCTGCACTGATTCTCGTGTGGATGTTTGTAAGATTAGTTACTCACGCAGAATATCAGGCAACAAATCAGAAAAATTTTGATTTGCCTAATGCAAATCTATTAGGTGAGAAGAAAATTAGGTTTTTCTTATCACAAAAAATATACAGAAGCCTTCAAACGTGAAAAACCAATCAGATGCAAATATAGAATACATTCCACAAGATGAGCAAAAAGTCAATTATGATGGATGTTGTATGTATCAAATATTGTAACACATATCTATGTTTTATGTTTTTTTTTGAATTCCCCACATATCTATGTTGTAACTTGGATTCGAACAGGGGTCGTTAGGATGATTTCAAAAAATAAATATTCGAATGTGTATATATCTACTATCTACTATATATATATATATATATATATATATATATATATATATATATATATATATATATCTACTATACTAATAAGAGCCCAAGAGGGTTAGGCCTAAAATGGGTAGAAAAAATGTCCGCCACAGTTTTTAATCAAATGAATGGCTCAGATTAATCATAAAATTAATCAGATTTTAATTTTTCAATGAAATTTACTTAAATACCCACACACCGTTAGTCCATCCGTTAAAAATTTTAATTAACCGTTAGTTTGCCGTTAAGTCAATCTCACCGTATATCTCACCACAGCCGAATTCCAGAATTTTGCCAAATTTCCCTCATCGATTACTTGATCTCCACAGCCGACTCACCCGATCGACTACTTGATCTCCACAGCCGACTCACCCGTCTTCACCTCCTCCGAACCAATTGAAAGCTCCTAATAATATAATAAGGTAAATAGATATCAAAAGCTCAGCCGATTAGACTGCCGATATCAATCTCAGTCAGGCATGCCGATATCAATCTCAGTCAGGCATGCAAATTAGTGTTTCTTCTAATTTCAGTTTTTGTATTGTTATTCGTTTCAGGTTCAGAAATCCCTCTTGAAGAGCTTGCTGAATCAATTGTATCAGATAAGAATCCTAATAGCAGCATTAAAAGGGAAAAGGTATGTGTTAACCTTAATCCCCAAAGGGGTTCTATTATTCTGTTTTTCCATGAATTATTCAAGCATCGATATAGCAGCATTAAAAGGGAAAAGGTATGTGTTTACCTTAATCCCCAAAGGGGTTCTATTATTCTGTTTTTCCATGAATTATTCAAGCATCGATAAGGAAACAAAACTCCTTCCTCTGATTCTATATTTTAAGGAGCTCTTGGATATTTGAAAGGAAATCAGTATCCCTCTCTATGGTGCCGGACTGAAGTTTGAGCATCTGAAATCTGATCCTTCAAATACATGTTTATTAGTTAGATTCTAAAAAAAACATCCAATACAATTTCATTAAAAGTATAATCTTAGAGTTTCTGATTAATGGGCTTAGAGTTTACTCGAGTCCATGGACAGTTATAAGTAGTTTATAAATTATCCAATGAGATTTTTTTTTCCTGTGCCAGTATTTGAGGAATAGTACCTTTGCTTTACCCCATCTATACTATGTGCACTTTTCAGGTTTAGAAGAATTTCACACGGACAAGAGTAAATGCCAGGAACATTTTGACAATTACAAGGAATGCAAGAAAAAGGAGGTACTGTTACTATCTGCAAACTCCTTCCACCTGTTAATGCTGCCTACTTGAGTATATTTTCTTTCATCTTCTAGATATAGTCATATATTGTATAGATAATTCTTCCACTTAGTTCATTCTTATTCTTATAGTGTAGATTGATCACAAAAATGGATGAATTCCAGTGCTGTAACATAGCTCCAACCTCTGTTTAAATAGCTGAAAGCCCATGTGACCATTTTATTTGTTCAGTTATTTAGATTCATGCATACATATATGTCCTGTACTTATTAAGCTTCTTTGATTATACTTATAAATTCAAATCAGATTCCTGGACTGTATTCCTCTTTCTTGTTCATCAGGTTGTTTCCAATTGTTTATCTGCCCTACAAGAGATTTGGACCTTGGAAGGATCTAAATCTGAGGAAGCATCAAGAGACAGAGAGATATTGCTAAGCAAGCGAGTTATATATTTCCTTTTAAATAGGTAATATTGAAGTGATATTTACTATTTGATTTTAGTAATAAATAGAAAGTCCATACACCAAGCTCACAGAGTTATAGATGAAATCTCAGTTCCAAACTAATCTAAACTCACCCTATACACCAGTATTGGATGGTAACAAGCCTAACCCACAAAACCACAATGCCTCAAGAGAGGTCACAATCAGCCAACGAATTTGCAGAGAATAACAGTTTTCAGTTAGAAAGTAGAAAGGAAAAGATATCAAAACCTGTATATTGTAAACCGGTTCAAACAGTCGCAACTCACAATTTATAGCCATTAGTTCACATCCTTTACAAATGTACCTTGATTGAAGGTGCAGATAGAAGAGCTTTGGATCCGAATCTAACAAACCCGGGTGTTATTACCTTCAAAGCAAAATTTGAGTGTTAGTGATGTTGTGTTTCGCGTTAGGTTGTGTGATCCTCAGGTTTCATTCCGGGGCAGTAATCCCAGGTCCTATACTCAAATTTCTTACTGATGAGAGAATTTGCTTTGTCGGTTTTTTCTGCTTTTAGTTATGACCATTTTTTTAATTTTTCATTTTTTTAGCATCTCTCTTTATGGAGTCAGGGCGTTCTGGAATTGCTGAATCTAGCGATGCAGAGAGTCAACGAGCGGAGTACAACTTGAAACGACGAAATGCATACTCAATAATGGATCCTGATAAAAAACGAAAGATGTTAGATGAGAAAAACGAAAAGCGTCGAGCCAAACTTAGAGAAGCCCAGTCTTCGCAACTTCATGCCGTCAATACTGGTATGCTTTTTAATTCTTAAAATATGTGTTCTGTCTGAGTTAAATTCATGAACGTATATACAAGGGAGCTAACTTATTTAACATGGCTTTGATTGATGCAATTGATTATGCAATTAGAAATTCTCAATAATTCTAATCAGGAATGTTTGCAACGGAACGATACTCTTTCTTCTATTCCAGACCAATCTTTTGTTCTTAAAGATTGTCCTCCTTGCACCTATTGTAATGCAAGGCGATTCCAATATGAACCACCTGGATTTTGTTGCTCATCTGGTCAAGTTGTTTTGGTGTCTAATGAAATGCCTTCACTCTTGAAACAATTGTTTTGTGAGAAAGATGAAGTGTCACGTCATTTTCAAGCATGTGTTAGAACGTATAACAACACATTTGCATTTACTTCATTAGGCATACACAACTACGATAAACAATTATCTAGGAGGAATAAAGGGATCTATACATTTAAAGTTCAAGGACAAATGTATCATTTTATCAATGATTTGGTGCCAGGGGACCAACCTCCTAAAAACTTGCAATTGTATTTCTTTGATACTGACCATGAGGTTGAGAATAGAATCAAAGGGGCAGAACGAATGGATGCAAGTGTTGTTGAAAACCTTATTGACGTACTTGGAAGCAATCCGTATTCACAGTTCTTCAGAAATCTCAAAGATATATCAAGTCTTGATGATTGTAATATTCTGATTCGTTCAAATGCAAGTCTAGATCAACGTGTTTACAACATGCCTACCTCTTCTCAAGTTGCAGCAATTTGGGTAGATGAACAAGATGGTAGTGGTCAGAACAATCGTGATATTAGAGTTTTTGCAAAAACTGGCCAATCACATTCTGTGAAATACTATTACGGTTGTTATGATCCCTTGCAATATCCCCTGTTGTTCCCCTACGGAGAGAGTGGTTGGCACGAGGGAATATCTAAAGTTCCTAAATCTTATCAAAATAATTATTCTATTTGTGAAGGTATTCTCCAGCCTCGGGGGTTTTCTTCAATACAAGCTTTGTTAAACAAAGAGAACGAAAACTTTGTTGGTCAGAGCAAGCGGAACACTGTTTCATGCAGAGAATATTATGCTTATCGTTTTCAAATTCGACCAAACGATCAATCTATGCTCCTACATTCAGGAAGACTCTTTCAACAATTCATTGTTGACACCTATATCAAAATTGAGACACAGAGATTGGACTATTTTCGAACACAGCAGCGTGATGTTCGAACAGAAAGTATGCAAGGATTAGTGGATAGCATTGCATGTGGGGAAACAAATGCATCAAATGTGGGACGCAGAGTAATTTTACCGGTATCTTTCATTGGAGGCCCACGAGATATGCGTAAAAGATATATGAATGCTATGACATTGGTTCAACGGTATGGTAAGCCAGATATTTTTTTGACAATGACGTGTAACCTAAATTGGCCTGAGATTAAAAATTCGCTTCAATATTGTGATGAATCTCAAAATAGGCCTGATTTGATTTCAAGAGTGTTTCGTGCTAAGTTGGAAGAATTGAAAGTTGACCTCCTAAAGAAAAAACTTTTTGGAGTGGTGATAGCATACACTTATGTGATTGAATTCCAAAAGCGTGGCCTCCCACATGCTCATTTCTTATTAATCTTAGGGAAAACCCACAAATTTTACTCGGGTAGGGATGTTGATGCAATTGTTAGTGCAGAAATACCTGACGCATTTCAAAACCCTTCTTTGCACTCTTTAGTGGCAAAACACATGATACATGGACCATGTGGTCCTCTGAATCCTCAAAATCCATGTATGGTTGAGAATTTCAGTGTTTCACTTTGCAAAAGTAAATATCCCAAGAGATTTTCTGATGCAACAGTTTTGGGAGAGAATTCATATCCTACTTATAAGCGCAGGGACAATTCAAGGTTTGTTACCGTTCGTGGCCACCAATTGGACAACAAATGGGTGATACCATATAACTCATATTTGTTATCTAAATTTGATTGTCATATCAATGTTGAAGTTTGTGCAACTATTAAGTGCGTAAAGTACATATACAAGTATATATATAAAGGTCATGATAGAGTTGCATTTAATTTATCTTCTGGAGAAGAGATCATTGACTTTGATGAAATAAAAGAATACCAAAATGCAAGATGGGTATCACCTCCTGAAGCTGCATGGAGAATATATGGGTTTAGCCTTGCTGAAATAAAACCATGCGTAGTAGACTTGCAGATTCATTTGGAGAACTACCAGTACATGAGGTTTGATGGAAAACAAGCTTTGAGTGATCTTGTGGATAATCAACTTAGCTCAAAGACGATGTTAACACAATTTTTTTTCATGAATACGACTAATGAAACAGCTAAGAGATTGAACTTATTGTATGCTGAGTTTCCTGAGTACTTTGTTTGGTCAAACAAAGATAAACACTGGTATCCAAGGCAAAGAGGGGAAGTTGTAGGGCGGCTGGTAAGTGTTAATCCCACTGAAGGAGAGAGATATTATTTGAGAATGTTGTTGATGAATGTCAGGGCACCAAAATCATATGAACACTTAAAAATGGTTGGTGAATCTATGACTACAACTTTTAGAGAAGCGGCAGAGAAATTGGGATTGTTGCAGAGTGATCGGGTGATAGATCAATGTCTGCAGGAAGCTATGTGTTGGCAAATGCCTACAAGTTTTCGAAGGTTATTTGCTACGATGTTGGTCTTTTGTGATATTCCATCTCCCCGTGGTTTGTGGATAAAATACAAGGAACATCTTTGTGAAGACCTAATTTCCTCATCTGTGAATATAATTGATGCTGAAAATAAGTGTCTCCATATGATAAGTGATGTACTTGAATCTTTGGGGAAAAATATCAATGACTTTGCGTTAGTTTCTTATTATATTGGCCTTACAAAACAACAAAGAATACACAAAGAAATACAAGCAGAACTATAGTTTCATTCGATATTTATAGACTCAAATATGTGAAAATGTTATTTAATTTTATTTTATATACACTATAGTTTCATTAAAACACAACTACATGATCATATTGATATAATTACAGCTTCATTGTACAATATACACTCAAATATGTGAAATGTTATTCAGTTTCATTTTATATACACTGCAGTTTCATTTCACTATAACTACAGTATCATTTTGATATAACTACAGTGTCGGTTTAGATATACTGTAGTGTCAGTTGGTGTTTAATACACCAAACAAGCGGACTCCGTTAACTCTAACGGCGGGCCGTTTCTTTACTTAAATAAAACGACGTCGTTTTGACAGTGTCGATTTAAACACACTGTAGTGTCTGGCGCGCGGTGCATAATATAACGATCCCTTAAATCGCTATTGTTCGGTATTTTTTTTTGGTTGCACCTCTGATCTGCCTTTTTTGCAGAAAATACATAGGAAAAGTAGGGCTTTTACACTTTTGTTTAAGGAGTTGTGCCCCTGTTTGTGGGCCTTTTTGGTCCAATCCTAGTTGTTATACCGTGGACCATGGTCCACAGTGTTAGGTGATCATGGTCGTAAAATGAAACTCTAGTAGAATTAAAATGATACTTTTTGCTATAATAAAATTAGTGTGCGTGAAAAATAAAACTAAAAAATAGACTTATTCAATAATAATGTATATTGTTAAATGAAACTGTAGTATAATTAAAATGATACTTTAGTATTATTATAATGAAACTAGTGTGTATAAAAAATGAAACTAAAATTTAAAATCATACAATAACATATAATGTCAAATGAACCAAGAGTGTAATTAAAATAGTACTTTAATATTACTATAATTAAACTAGTGTGTGTGAAAAATGGAACTACAAAATAGAGCTCATGCATTAATGTATATTGTCAAATGAAACTGTAGTAGAACTAAAATTATACTTTGGTATTGATATAATGAAATTAGTGTGTGTGGAAAATAAAACTGAAAACAGAGCAATATTGTCAAATGAAATTGAAGTGTAATTAAAATGATACTTACTTCATAAACCACACTGTTACATGGAGCGTTATGTTGTGGACCCATGTCCACCATGTGCATAGTGGACACGCTGTACATTCATAATTTCTATATGGTAGATTCATAAAATTTATAATGTAGATTCATAATTTCTATACTGCACATTCATAATTTCGATACTGCACGTTCATAATTTTTGTACTGTAAATTCATAATTTCTATATTGTAGATTCATAAAATTTATAATGTAGATTCATAATTTCTATGCTGCACATTCATAATTTATGTACTGTAGAGTGTAGATTCATAATTTGATAACTATGTATTCATAATTGGATAACTATACAGTTTAGAAATTATGATTGTACAGTATAGAAATTATGAATCTACAATACAAAAATTATGAATGTGCAGTATAAAAATTATGAATCGACATTATAAATTTTATGAATCTACAGTATAGAAATTATGAATGTACAACGTGTCCACCATGCAGCACAGCATAATTTGCCCTGTTACATGCACCATGGTCCACAATAAAATTTGTTGTCCAATCCTATTTATTAAAAAAATGTGTGTGTCTTGGGCCCCTTTTAATTGGTTTTGGGTCCATTTTCATGTTGTTAGGATAGTTATGCCGTAGAATCGTGTCGACCTTGCAAGATTGACATAGTTTTATGTTCATAATTAATTAATTACTAAACTCTATGTTCATAATTATAAAATTCTATGTTCATAATATTTGAACTTTATATTCACAATTATTAACCTATATATTCACAATTACATAACTTTATGTTCATAATTACTGAACTCTATGTTCATAATTATAAAACTCTATGTTCATAATTTTTAAACTTCATATTCACAATTATTGAACTCTATATTCACAATTACAGAATTCTATAATCATCTCTATATCTCTATATATATTAAAGCAAAATAAAGGGAGCAAAAACTTCCCGCCCAACGTTGACGACGTCGTTTGGAGGAATCCCAAATATTTATTGTGTTTGCTTCGGAAAACGTTCGGTCTCTACGGTTTCCCACGTAGAGTTTATATAAAACTCAGTTTTTTTAATATATAGTCGACTGCTCAATCTCTAATCCGATGAGATTAGAGAATGCATTTAACTCTATCAGTTTCCCATAAGGGACATAGAGCTCACTCACCGATACCTATTTTCAAGGTATTTATTTCGAAGGCAGATATAACGAAAGGTCATCAGACCTTAGTAAACTTCTATATATACAGCACAAAGCTACTGAACACAATTCAACCTACTAAATACATCCGCAATCTGTATACAACATCCTCTCTCAATTCTGCCATACTTCAAGATGTTTACTCTTGTGAGCCAAATTTCTCCCATGAATACAAGACATGCTCTTAGGCTACGCGTCTTACGAGCATATCAAATTCCTGAGAGAAGTGATCCATCAAAAATGAGATCAAAGGAAATCGTATTTCATGATGAACATGTAAGTGTTATTTATAAATTATTATAATGCAGTGAAGATTAATTTAAGACAATTATATTTCTACAAAATTGTGATTTTGTTTGTTTTACATACACAGGGTACCTTCCTTCATGCTCATGTACCAAAAGAATATGTAGAAAAGTACCTTGGTTGTTTTGCTGAAGGTTCAGTTTATGCAATAAAATTTTTTTGTGTGATCACAAATTTTTACTCATACAAAACCAGCCCACACAAGTACATGATAAAATTTAACTATCAAACTATGGTAAAAGATTTGAAGTCTGTGAAATTTCCCATGAAGATGTATCGTTTGAAGCCCTTTAAAGAGATTAAATGTAGTGAAGGCCTTGATGAGAAACACCTATTTGGTAATCACTGCTCTCCTGTAATCTATGTCTTCTAAATAATTTAAATTATTTTATACACTAATGTAACTTTCTGTAGATGTTATTGGGCGAGTTATTGAAATTCACTGCCCACAGGATAAAGTGATTAATGGGAAGAACTCCAGCCTGATTGACTTCACCATTGAAGACACTGAGTAGTCCTAATTAACTTTGCCTATCTATTGACTATCTATTTTTATGCTTTTTGTATTTCTAACAAATTTACTAACAATTTGTAGTGGAATACAACTTATGTGTACGTTGTGGGATGAACACGTAAGCAAGATTGAGGCATTCTACAATTCTACTACACAAGAGCCATTATTGGTGTTGATACAGTTTTGTAGGGCTAGGGTGTGTTTAAATAGTAAGTTTCTCATCAATTTGAAACACTGCCTAACATCATTTACCATGTACATAACCATCATATATGTATTTTCTGATTTTCTGATGTGTGGTAACACTAATTCTCTAGGTGGGGATGTCAAAATTTGTAGCTCCTATGATGTCACCCAGTTTCTTTTCAACCAGGAATCTCCAGAATTTGAGGAGTTCAGAAAAAGGTTAGCCAATTCTTAGTCTTGAAATATCTATGTACATTGTTTACTAATTCTGAATTTACTTTTCATTTCACAGCATCAGTCATGAGCAAACTCCAATGCGGAGTATTGTTTCGCAATCAAGTTTTAAGGAATGTAGTTCTTATTCAGTTTCGCTATCTGGTGATATGGAACTTCGTACTATCAGTGAAATCTACAGAGACAAGGAGGTAATATCTAAGTCAACTCTTACCTTACCTCATAAATTAAAAAGAAGCCAATATACGTTTTGTCATCTATAAAATGGATACATTAATAGTAGTAGTACCTTAGACATCTTAGTGAATATTCATGTCATTAGTGTATTGATTTTGCTGAATAATTGAATTCTCTATCATAAAACAATTATGAGCCCTCTATAAAATGTAGACATTTATATAACAAGTAGTACCTTACATGAATATTAGTAGTACATCTTCTGAGAGATAAGCAGAAGCTATACTCATGCCAACTTCTGACCTTGCTAATCTGCATTTAATAATTAGGCATTATAATTTCTAAAAAAATTTATCACATAACATAACAGTGCTGATGAACTATTTGAGAGCTAATAGACACATAAATTGCAGTGTACAGGTAGGTGCTTATCTCAACAGCTAAATAGAAATCCTCTAACTCTGTATAAGTTCATAGTGTATGTTGGTTCTGATGATACTCTGTAACCATCTCAAGGCCATCACCCCAATTCCTATCACATGTATTACACCACAATCACTTTCCTTTCAGTTTCAACTTTCTGTTGCAACCCTTGGTTCGACACGAAGCATAATACCACTCTGGGTCATCAATGAATACAATTCTTGCTGCAACCCAAAAATCTCCAAACTGCATACAGTTTTATGCAATTAGGATAGTACAAACTTTATATTTATGCGAATTACCTGCATGGTCGAAAGGGTGTGCCTAAGGAGCTTGAAACTCTAATTGGATTGAATCTTCTCTTTCGAATTGCTGTTCGCAAAGAACAATTCCAGAACTATCTCAATGCTTTCCCTGTTATGAGAATGATTAGTGATGAAAAGATAGTAGAGAAGCATGCACCAGAGCTAATTCAATTTAGGGACAAGGATCTCAGTTCAAAGTTGGAGTTGGAGCTTATAGATGAGGATCTATGGGATCTAGAGGTATACTTGGGCAGATTGGTGTTATATCCTACAATTAATTCATAACTATAGAAATGTAGTACTTAGCCCTAACTATGGTTTTTTAGGACATTGACCAAGCAAATGAAGCTGAAAGTCCTCTCCAAGTTGTTGCACAGAGGGTGAATGCAGACAACAATGTTGAGAATGGAACAGTAAAGAGGTCTCTAATAGATGAATTTTCAAGCACACGAAGTTCTAAAAAAAGGCAAGGAATGTGTGGTCAAAATTGAGAAAGAAGCAGCTGTGTAATGAGTGAGATTAGTGAGAGGGTGCTCTATTGAACTGTTAACTTTTTTTTTCTGTAAGTTTTTTATGATGACAGACTTTTGGGGTCACTAAAACAGCTAAACACATGGTTTTGAGACTATGCGGTCTTTATTAATACATTTCATGGTTGAATGTTATTTACAGATCACTCCTTACAACATGCTTTAAAATGGTATCCCTTTTGCAACATATATTTTTCTTTTTTTGGTAGGTAGTGAAGCAGAATATTATGGCAAACACAGCAGGTCAAGTTGTAAAGCACATGATGGAAAACACACCATGCAAATAGTATATGTTAGCATAACTACAGGGTTTTAATTGTAGTTTGGATATGTAAAATATTATAGGCTAAAATAATGTAAGCTAGATGTAACAGTGTTTACATATAATTTTACCTTTTCTAGCTTGAATGTAATATTATGTTTGTGATGTAGCTCATTCTCCATTTTGTTCAATCAGTTGACACATAGCCTACATATCAGAGAATAACATTATATTTTTCCCAATAAGTATAAACAATCCGTCACTACTGGAAATTATAAAATTTCCGACCACCTGAAAGTGATCTTAAAATCAAGTTGATACCAAAAAGTGGTCGGAAATAGCAACAAAGGTTTTTCTGGATACCAAAAGTGGTCGGAACAAGACTTTCGACTTGATTTAAGATCACTTTCAGGTGGTCGGAAATTCCATAATTTCCCGTAGTGCGTTTACATGCTCATCTAACATTACAACTTTCAGAAAATGATGTTAGGATATGCAGCAAATTTAAAGTTTTGCCTAATTGATTCAGGACTATCTATCAATAAAAACTCTAGAGTGGTGACTAAACTATCACTAAAAAGATTACAAAACTTTATAAGAATTAAGGTTCATTAGTATTTATAAATTATAGTCACTGGAGAGAACAAAATAGATATCTCACCCTGTCAATGACTAATTGAAAACCACTTCTCCAGTTGGGGTCCCAGGATCACCAAAGCATTTTGGCTTCCAGTTTGAACCATCCTCAAGCACAAATACAGAATCTGCTACCTTCCATGGTCTCTATACCAATGCTGAGTTGAAGAAATTTATTACTTGTGCAGCAGTACAATTAAAAGTTTGATAAAGTAACAGACACTAACTTCTACGTTAGAATGTATACAGAAAAAAAAAAATGAAGTTATGCATGAAGGTTCAAATTTGAATCTTCATTTCTCACATGGCCCATGGAATCAGTCTAGAATAAAATAAAACAGTTGCACAACTTTAGCTCTCAAATATGACAATTTTCTATACTGCAGGTTAGACTGCTAAATGTACGTAAGAGTTTTTGAAGAGTTAACTTCAAGCTCTAAACATGAGAAGAGTAACACTCTCTTAGAGACTACAACATCACTTAGAAATGGACAACATAACAGATCTGTAAGTGATTTAGATAGCCAAATTGGAGAGGATAGTTTGAGTTCTGGAGTATTATGCTTAAAATTAGAAACAGCGTATCTAAGCTTGCAAACTAACATATAAAAGAAATTCGACGTTAGCAGTGTTGTTGAGCAAAACATAGAGAAAATCTGTAACGTAAATAAACAATATATGAATCCCTAGATGAAGTAATTCAAACAATTAATTAGTTTTCAAACGTACTCTAGGAAATTAAAAAGACTAGTACAATTTTAGTTCAGCTCAGCAATCATATAATTATTCCTGGCGCTTGCTAACCTGCATGTTATACAGACTCCATTAGAAACAATGCAAGAATAGTATTCTGGAGCCAACTTATGTCTATTGAAGTAGAGATGAGAGCTGATTAGAGACTTAAAACTTATCTTTTATCAGGAACTAATTTCAATAGCTCTTTTCACATTCTTTTTAACCATCATAGGTTGTACTTGCTAACCTGCAGTTTAGTGCAACAATTCGAAAAGTCTAAGTGAAAATACTTATCTTTTTGGAATGTTCTTCTAATATAAGTACTTTCTTACCAATTAGATCATGGTCCATTGTTCTTTTTGACCTTCAAATTATTGAGATGCCATTATAAACTGAAGCAAAATTTGTATTCATGACCAAATTCATAGACTATTACTGATTTTGTTTAACATGTGAGTAAACAATTGAAGAGTTTGCACGTCTCAATCACCGAGTTCAAGTCCTTGCTACCTGGAAAACAACATAGTAGAGAAATCATCAAACTTATACTATTCCAGCCGAATTTAAGAAATTCACAAAATTATGGGAAGCAATTAGTCATATGCAGGGAGCACGTATAAAGATGTGAACACAAACTTGAATTAGTCTTTTCCAAAATTATGCATTAAATAGCACACATAAAACTTATAGTATTGGTTCGAAGCAATTACATCTTCAATCACTATTGGTTCGAAGCGTAAGCATCCCAGCCACAACCAAGGTAAATCTATATACTGCTCATCTATTAGACACTTATGCTTACACAAATACAGAGACCTATTATCCAGAATGAAAATATTACATAGTGTAAGAAAAAACTAAAAACGAGTTCGGAACTTCGGAACAAAAATTAAGCAGCCTGTTAAGCAGATATTAAAACTAATCCGAATGCAATTATTTGTATCAAAATCCACATGCATGTGTTCTAAATAAGGAGTTCATAAGATCTACAGTTTAATTCGATAGATTATAAATCTGAAATATACCATACTTAGATCTGAAACAGTAGAGATGTTAGGGTTAGAAATTCGTACCCAATTTGGTAGAAATTGTAGAGATGTTCTGAAAGCAACCGTGTATATTCGCACAAATTTCTCAGCAAAAACTTCATCCTAACTGTAAATCGCACCAAGCTTCGATCTCTGTCTATTGACGGACTCCGGCGAAGTACAGTGTTAACTGGGTTTAGCGAATATGACATAAACCCGTCGAAGACTCGAAACCCGTGCTTTCACTATGGATTCAACACTCAGATATGAAGTATTTCTAGATCGGAGGGTCAGTTTATGATTCAAAGATTATCATCTTCATCGTGAACCCATAGGATAGAGTAGACGAGACTGAGAAATCGAACCACCCTCACCGGACTGTCCTCCATTTCTAGAGAGAGAGACCGGAGCTAGGTGAAATTGACCCGTACGAATTTAGCAGTCGAGGTGAGTAGGAAATGATCGGACAGTTGTGAACAACACTCATCTTCATCTTTCTCGATTTTGTTTATCCGATTATTATTATTATTATTATTATTATTATTATTATTATTATTATTATTATTATTATTATTATTATTATTATTATTATAGCTTGAAGTATTATATTCTTATTAAAGTATTATTAAATTAATATTATTATCGTTATTATTGTTATACTTTAGTTCCGACGCAGTATGTAAAGCTGATGACGACAACGGTATAATTGGAGATGTACACACACTGGAATGGATAAACGGCATTAGAGTTTCAGGTCTACCAAATCATACGCTGAATTTGAAAATTGGTTCACCGGTCATATTAATGAGAAATATTGACCATTCACTTGGTTTGTGCAATGGTACTCGGTTGGTAACCACAAAGTTAGCAAACCATGTTATTGAAGCCGAGATACTGACTGGTCCTAACAAAGGTACAAAAGTGTTGATCCCCCGAATGTCCATGTCACCCTCCGATCCAAGATTGCCGTTCAAGTTTCAACGAAGGCAATTTCCGTTGATGCTATCATATGCAATGATCATAAACAAAAGTCAAGGACAAACGTTGTCTCAGGTCGGATTAATACTAAAGAAATCGGTTTTTGTACACGGTCAGTTGTACGTAGCTGCATCTCAGGTTAGCAATCCAGATGGTCTCAAAATATTGATAGTAAAAGACTCAAATTCAACTAATACAACAACCACTAATGTTGTATATCATGAAGTTTTCAATAATTTGTAATTTTGATAAGTTTTCTTTTTTTCATACCATAACATTAGTTGCAACTATTTGTAATATACCATTTACATATTGTTTTTGTTGAATTCCCACACATATTTCATTTATATGTTATAAATTATAACAAAATTATTTCACACAATTTATAATATAACAACCACACAATTAATACTTTTTAATTTACATACCGTGCAGCGCACGGGTCAATTACTAGTAATTATAGAATTCTATGTTCATAACTCTATGTTCATAATTATAAAACTCTATGTTCATAATTTTTGAACTCTATATTCACAATTATGAACAGTTTGGAATCGTGTCCACCTTCCCAACATAATTTGCCCATGTTATTATTAAAATCCCTCAAGAACCGTTTTGACCAGCAAAAATCAACAGTCTTAGCTTAGGCACAATTTGACTGACTTAACTTGAGATTTTGCTTCACAACTAGCAAAAATCACTAGGCCTAGCTAAAAAGCACAAGCAACTATTGGTACAAAACCATTTAAACCAACTCTGATAGTCGAAACGTGCCCGTCCAAGGCTATGACGAGGCAGACGAGGTCGTAAGCACGTCAGATACTTCTGACGACTCTTTGCTCCGAGCGGTTGAGGAATACTCGGGGGACCGTGCCACTCCCCGACCTCCGCTGAGTCACGGTGATGGTCGGTCATCCCCGAACAGCCAATATTCCCCTCAAAACCTACCGGTTGCCAAGGCTGGCAACTCTAGTCGGGGTAAATCCCCTCGCCTCATGGAGGCAAACTTTGCGAGGGCAGTCTAAGCTTCTACATCCGGTTCCCGGGGAGATCCTCCCGTCTTAAACTTAAGCTCGATCCCGCCAGCCACAGGTAAGCGATGATTTCTAAGCAGCGAGTCCTTAGGTCAGGAGGAATGTCTCCTCACTCGGGCTGAAGCGGAGGAAGTTTCTGCCTTAGTGGCCGGACGAGTCGAGGTCGACACGCGACGATCGGCGAGGGGTATCATCGATCGCACCACGGGAGATTGGTTAGGAATTCACTTCGACTCCCTTAAAGCCCCTCTGACCTTTCCGTTTAGTACCTTCCTCATATCTTTTATGAGGTACTACGGAGTCTTGCCCGGGCAGATTGCTCCAAACGGCCATAGGATTCTGGCTTGCTTTCCACAAATATGGAAGCAACATAGCGTGTCCTGCACGATCGAGCTCTTCCAGTTTATATACTCGGTCCGGGTACTTGCCGCTAAGTACGGAGGCGGGGTGCTGACCATCCAAGCTCGGGATTATCACTGCAGTTTCGCCCGTTTACCCGAGAATAACAAGGGATGGAAGAACCGGTACCTATCGGTCAAGTACCCCTGGCCCTTATCGGTTGCCCGTACGTGGCCTTCCCACTTCACGGCGCATCGGCGACCAAAGGAGACCCTAGCATTGACGGACGCCGCCCTGAAGATCTCGTCTAAAATATACGATTATCAAATATTTCGGACGTCCGAGGAGTATGATCGAGCGCAGTTGGCCCCTCCTCGCTACGACCTGGAGATGAAATATCTGCCCGAACGCGCTGTGGTGACTGTGGCCATCGCTTCGACACTGCCCATCGCCGGGCAAGAAGGTTTAGCATCCGTAAGGCCATACAAGTTTGATCTCATGTACTCTTTCCCCATACTAACCCAACTCGCTTTTCTTTTACAGGCATGGGACTCGATAAAGGTTTTCTGGTCACCTCCAAGGCTCCACCTGTCCAAACCAAGATTGCCCTGGGTGGCAAGAAAGCTGGTTCTACCAAAATCGGGGGTCCAAAGCCTAGCGCAACTCAGGCCGGTGATATAGAAGCTTCTGTTCCAACAACCCTTCCTTTGGCAACCGTCCAGTCTACTGGGGGTGGTTCTTCTTCTGTTGCCCCCCGGGCGTATTCGAAATGGACGAGGGATAAGTCGGTTGACCTGGAAGGCGAGGAGGTCGTACCCTTGAAGAGGAACCGTCGAGCCGGGTCGGATGCTAGCACTCCAGTGGTCGACGTTTTGCTGCGTTACGGCGGGGAAGACCACCCAACCGCTCTGCTAGATAAAATCTGCGCAGCTGCCCCTCCTCCCAAGAAGACCGGAGATTGGACCACCAATCAAGTGGGGGAAAGGATAGCCCGAGACTTATTACAGGTTTGCCTTCTGGAATTCTTTGAGAAACGATCTCACTTTCAAGGTACTTTCCTAACTTCTTCCTTCCAGATGTCCCACACAGTGGCCGACCTGTTTTCCTAGACAAAAGACGCCGAGAATGGGCTTGAAGCAGCCAACAAAGTCATAGCTCGGAAGGACGAGCAACTGAAGGAGTTGGAGGACAAGCATGCCGCTGTCGTCTTAGAGGCGTCGACAGCAACACTTCGAGCCGATCACGTCTTAACCGCGTACAAGGCTTCCCCTGACTTTATGAAGGACGCTACGGCCGATCAAGTTGCCCTGGCCAACTGCATCTGTAGTACTCTCCCACACGCTGAAGCTTTCTTCTGGGCCTTCCTCAAGAACCAGATCGGGGAGGACCTCGTGTACACCTATGGCACTAGGTCTTTCAACAGCGGGCTCTTGGCCATGCAGACGGAAGTTCGTGATACGTTGGTCGCTGCCCGGGAGGAGGAGGACGCAAAAGCCTTATTAGGCGTTCTTCCCCAAGCGGCCGAACCAGGCCCGGCACCGTATTCGGAAGACTCGGTTGTCCCAGCAACCGAGAAGTAAAAGGCCACTTTTAGGCCTGTTGTATCCCCATTTTGCTTAAGACTTGTCGGGAGTTCGGCCCCGTTGTGCCGAACACTAAAACATTTATTTTTATTCTTACTTTGTCAGTTTTTGTTCATAATATGTCTTAGCGTTTTTCGCTTTACTTTGAGCGCTTTATTTATATCTGAAGAAAGTAGTCCTTGCCGACGGTTCGGTCGTAACCGGACTTAGAGATCGTAAATTAGCATTTTGTTCCCGAGGCCCAATAGCCGGGCCACCCGGGCACGACTCTAGTAATACTAGCCCTATGGCCATGCAGATGACGGCCGGTCTGAAGACCATGATCGATCCCTCATGGTTTAATGGCCCGTGTAATGGTCGGTACAAAGACCGTAACCGGAGACACCTCCCGGTTCTCCCCCTGACCGATCTGAGGACCGAAGGACGGGCACGCTGCTCCTGTAGTGGGCACGCTTCTCCCACGGATCGCTCCGAAGACCAAAGGACGGGCACGCTACTCCCGTCGTGGGCACGCTTCTCCCACGGATCGGTCCGAAGACCAAAGGACGGGCACGCTACTCCCGTAGTGGGCACGCTTCTCCCACAGATCGGTCCGAAGACCAAAGGACGGGCACGCTACTCCCGTAGTGGCTACGCTTCTCCCACGGATCGGTCCGAAGACCAAAGGACGGGCACGCTACTCCCGTAGTGGGCACGCTTCTCCCACGGATCGGTCCGAAGACCAAGGGACAGACACGCTACTCCCGTAGTGGGCACGCTTCTCCCACGGATCGGTCCGAAGACCAAAGGACGGGTACGCTTCTCCTGTAGTGGGCACGCTTCTCCCACTGATTGGTCCGAGGACCTTAGAACGGGCACGTTTCTCCGGTAGTGGGCACGCTTCTCCCACTGATCGGTCCGAGGACTTTAGAACGGGCACGCTTTTCCCACTGATCGGTCCAAGGACCTTAGAACGGGCACGTTTCTCTCGTATTGGGCATGCATCTCCCACTGATCGGTCCGAGGACCTTAGATCAGGCACGCTTCTCCCGTAGTGGGCATGCTTCTCCCACTAACCGGTTCGAGGACCTTAGAACGGGCACGCTTTTCCCGTAGTGGGCACGCTTCTCCCACTGATCGGTCTGAGGACTTTAGAACGGGCACGCTTCTCCCATGGATCGGTCCGAAGACCAATGGACGGGCACGCTACTCCCGTAGTGGGCAAGCTTCTCCCACGGATCGGTCCGAGGACCTTAGGACGGGCACGCTTCTCCCACTGATCCGTCCGAGGACCTTAGAACGATCACGCTTCTCCCGTAGTGGGCACACTTCTCCCACGGATCGGTCCGAAGACCAAAGGGCGAGGGCTATGATACTGAAAATAACTGCTTCGATTAACATGAAACATGATTACAACCCTCCTAACGAAGCCGACCAGCTTATATGGTTTGCTCGATCGCTTGATTACAATCCTTCTAACAAAACCGATCAGCTTACATTGTTTTACTTGATCGCTTTACTAATTTGCTTACATAGTTT